AGCCTTACCCCTGAGACCCAGGCATTTAAGATTCTGGCTGTGCTCCCTACCCTCATGGCCTCCTCCCAGCAGGCTTATAAGCACTAAGTACAAAGCTAGACCACTGGTGAGGGGAACGATGTAGAGAGCATTGCCTTCCTATATGCAGGTGCATCAGGACGGCCTGAAGCCAAGGCTGGAAAAGGAACACTGAGCAAACCTCTCTGACACACCAACCCCCATCATACACCCAAGTAAACTCTACTGGAAACATCTCAAGGAAAGAGACTTTTTTTTTCTTGCCCCTGCTGCTAAAGGTCTTCACCTGTGCCCTAGGGAGGACAAGGTGCCTTAAGAGTCTATATGGGGCCTCAGAATGTCCCCCGCAGGCTGGTCCCCTCTCCCAGGCCTGTGTATCCTGGGAAGCTTCCTTCTGTGTCTGCCTCCAATCTTTATCCTGAATCCCCAGTAAGGACTGTAGTCTACAACTGGGTGTACACTCCCCTTTTATTATTTTCATCGAGGGGTTTATACTCTTCTGTTAAATCACATTGTTTTTAGTCATTTGTCAAAAGTTTTAGCTGAGTTTTCCCCCATGTCCTACAGCTATGCCCTTCCTATTTGCCCTACACAGGTTAGCCAGTGCTCAATTCCTGCTTCTCTTTGAAGCTACTTACTTATCTTTCTTTCAACTGCAGATCAGTTGTTGACTCTGCACCACCCCTCCAAAGGGTTCAACAAAAATAATGACGTGGCAGATGAGCTGTCTTTTTCTTGTGATCAGGGTGAGGGCAAAGCTCTTTCCAGCTCACTATACACCAGGGTGAACAAAATTCCCCTGGGTATAATCCACGGTATAATTCTTGAATCCTCACCATAAGACAAAGTACCACATTCCTTTAGTGTTAAGTGGGTTTGACTTTTTTATGCAAATCAATGAAAAAATATAACATGTATTCAGTTTGATAAATAACTTCCTCAATATTAGTAACTGTCTTTTTGAGAGTGAGAGAGTTCTGTCAAAAGTTCCTAGTGAGTCCCTAAAGGAAATTTTGAGTTTAGCCACTGTGGATCAACCATTTCTTATTTTTTATTCTATTCTATTGATTTTTCTCTTTTCTAGCACAGAGGCATTTTTTATTCCCGTTTTACACTCTAAGCAGACTTGAGTTCTCTTGAAGTTGACCTTGAGGCATCCAAGGGTCTATAAACTCCCTTTAAAATAAACAAACAAACACACACCAGAAAAGATGACCTGGCATATTGCAGTAGGATACAGGTGTGCATGTGGAATATAAAATGCAGTATAGTTGTAATGGTTTATATTCTGGAAAACTAGGTCCCTGCACTCTTAGAATCTTGTTCACCCTCTTTTCACATTTATTGCATTTAAGATTCAAACAGGCGCATGTTACAAGGGAGAGCTATTCTGTACTTCTTGATATCGAACTTTATGCTCCTGCTTTGTAAGAGGACATAAACTGCTAAAATGCCTTTGCTTCCATGGTTTCTAATAGGCTCCTCTTTCTTTTCTATCTACAGTGTTCACAGTAAGAAAAAAAAAAAAAGGTGAAATCTGTCAGATTTTCAAGGATGAATAGGGCAAAGTTAGGGATACAGCAGCCTAACATAGTCATGTCTTTTTCTACTTCAACTATTTTTCTAAAAGTAATTGACCCTATTCACACATTTCACATGAATGGTGCAAAAAACGATAGTTTTATTTACAAAATAAGAATAAAGGGGAAAAATGTTCTCAATAGGTGGGTTTTGCATATGTCATGAGAAAAACCATTTAACTGAATGTATGCTTTGGTGAAAATTTGAGGGAAGTTGTGAGTTTCTGAAGGTTGTCTTTGGCTGTGATGACTTGAGATGATAATTGTTGTTGTTGTGAATCCTCACCCAAGAATCTTTTTCCATTGCTTTTAGATAGAGTGAAAGGGAAGGGGAGAGAGAGAAACATGGACGTGAGAGAGATACATTGATTGGTTGCCTCCCACACTACCCTGACTGTGGCTGTGGAATGAAACTACAACCCAGATATGTGTCCTTGACTGGATTTTGAACCCAAGACCTTTTGATGCTCGGGACGACATCTAACCACTGACCTACATCGGCCAGGGCTCAAGATTATTCATGCATTACATTCCAAGGCAATGAGGCTGTCTGAGAATTTCAACCTGGCAGCATGTTCAAAGGACAGTGAATCGCTGTAAGCTTGCTTGGAGTGGACTGCCATTGCAGAGGTGCTGTAGAGAGAAGGCAGCTGCTCTGCCGCCAGGATGTCAGATGGGAGGCAGTGGTCCGCCCCAGGGGCAGCACTGTGATCAAACCTCCTCCCTTGGGAGGAAATGGACCTTAGGTCCAGGTCAGCCTCATTAGCTCTTTTTATGAGCTCACCCATTGTACAGTCTCACTGCTGAAGCCTACCGGGCCAGGTTTGGTTTTCTCTGTTTATTTCCTCATTTTCAACATTTGGGATTACTGACCCTGAGACATCCCCACCTACCTAAATGATACTATCATGGTTCAGTACCACAGTTTGAATAAACCAAAAAAGAGCCTAATGTGAAATTATACTAGGACCTGAAACAAATTAACTTTGTTTCAAGGAGAGTAAGGGTATGTAATATACATATATGCACACATAATGTACATATATTTAAAGATATATGTAGTGTAAAGCATACATACTGTATATAAAATAGACAAATGTATAGCATTATGAAATATATAGTATAAATATATTATGTTTTACTATATATATAATATATAATTTATCATGTAAATAGCTTACTCTCTCTATATATATATTATACAGTTCTACCTATCTATCAGTTTATCTAAGATGTTCTGTCAAACTAATTTTGCAAACCATTGAGCCAAATATCTTTCTTTATACGTGGTATTTTCTCCATGTGGTACTCTTACAGATAATTTTCATTGCCTTTCCAATTGGGTTTATTCAAACAGTTTGCTAGGCTGCTATATGTTAACTGGCATATGAAATGAAAGATGATCTAACAAAAATAATGCTGACTTCCAGAAGAATGACAACGATTTGCCACACACTAGACAATATATAGCCTTATGTTACATCTCAATTATCGGAATCATAACTGATGTATATGAAGAATATGCCATGCAATGTTAGAGAGAAACATATCAAGATTTTGACAAGGAAAACATCAAGCTCTCTTAAAAGCAAAATGTAAGCCCTGTGGGTTTATAGTTTTAAAAGCCTCCATTTAAGTTCACCAATCACTGTTAGGTTCCAGTTGCACAATGATTAATGTCTTTTCCTTGCTCTCAAAGAGCACATATTCTGATGGGAAAAAACTGACATTAAAACATAATTACAATTCTATTTCAAAAGCAATACAGACAAGGGTGAGAGAGAATATGTTTACTAACTCAGAAAGTCAAGGAAAAGTTTACAGAAGGGATATATTTGTGCTAAGAGGGTGAAATGAGATTTAGAAGTCACCAGTCAGAAGAAGCAGAAAGGATAATTACAAATAGATGCATGAGGTGTGAAAGTGCAAGGCCTGAATGTTCGAAAGCCTGGTTGTTCACGGGACTGCAGCCGAGAGCAGATGAAGTTGGAGGAACGTGTGAAAACCTCCAGCAGTGATAAGTCACCGCGGTGATGTTAGGCATCCTCGTTACTAATTCTAAAGTTTATATATGTAAACTTCGTTTTGTATTGTCTGATGTGGCTTTCACTAGAGACCCTATACCAAGTAAGGAAATCACTTTTTAATCTTAAATTGCTAAACATTTTTGTCATTAGAAATGTTACCAAATTCTCTGTCACCATCTATCAAGATGGTCATATATGACCATAAAAATGTTCTCCATCTTACTCTTTTATTTTGAACTATATTAATAAATATGTAAAGATTATTGAGATCATCCTTATTATATTCCTGAGATAAATGTATATTAATTTATCATTTAAAATATGTATAGTTACATGTGCAAATATTTTTGGAGCTTTTCATCAATGTTCATAAAGTCAAGTTTATTTAAACTTTTTCCTTTTCCACCTATTTTATCTGATTCTGGAAAAAAGGAAGAAGACAATTTGGAAGCAGATACACCAAACCCAGCAGCTCTAGCAGGTACCACGTGGATCAGAGAAGTTCTCAGATAAGACCTCTCTAAATTCCTGATTCACAAAATCATATGCAGAATAAAACGGTTGTTTAAAGCCATTAAGTCTTGGGGTGATTTGTTATATAACAATATAGAGCTAAGCACCAATTCACTTCTACAAAGCTTTATGTTCTTAACAAGTAAACGGACTCACCTCAAGTTTGTGTGGTCCCGTAGCACCAATCTGCAGTCCATCTGCAATGCTGGCATCCTATAAATCATGGGGCTAGGACTTTTTACTAGCTTTTACATTTTTTTCTATATTGTTGGTATTTTGTGTTTCAACTCTATTCTGAGTTATTATTGAAATAGAAACTCACTGTTTTCAAGTTAACACACAGAAAATAGTACATTGAAAAAATATAGTAATAAAGTACTTACAATTTGTTTGCTTAACTTTCATCCACAAATACGGAATTTCCTCTATGTTTGTTGCGGGGCCACAGGCATTTCTGTCTTCATTTTTGATGAGTGAAATGAGAGTCCTAAGGAAGCCAAAAGAAGGGAATAGATGACTTTATTTAAGGACGTGCAGATTACTACCTATCTACCTAATCCCTCCTCCCCCGCAATTTGTTTTCAGTTATGATTTTTCTTAGAAATGATCCAACTCTAGATCTGCTTCATTGGTCAGAGTCAGCTTTACATACCCCACAATTTTTGAATTGATGTCTGAATAATGTATAAATTAGATTTGACATAATGTATGTACATATTATTATTTTACTGGGTTTTTCATCTTTGAAAAGAAGTGATTGAGAATTATGTATATGTGGCATTTCCATTTCAGAGATAATGTCATATTTATGGCAGGACCAGGTTTTAAGCATATTTAACAAATGCAACTTTCCTATTCCTCTCTCCACTAGGTAAATAGATCACAATATAAAAGATCAACCTCCAAGTTAAAATTACACAAATATAGGGTGGGGCAAAAGTTGATTTACAGTTGTGAGTACATGAAACAAAGTTTATTCTTGTATTATTTTCCATATGAAGAACTGTAAACCTACTTTTTCCCCACCCTATATTAAGTGAATATAATAGTTGAGAGAAAAATTTCATAGTTTGTGGAATGGTTTTATTTTTGGATAATGTTATTTCATTTCTTTAATCTATTTGTTTCCAGATAAGTTATGTTGTATATTGTGACTGTGGTGGGTACATAGTATTTTCTGCCCCAAATCTACCCATTTTGAATAAATATATTTCAAAGTGAACACAAGTCCCTCTATGAAGGTACAATAAAAAATTCAGGAGCATTTGGAAACCATGTCTCCCAAGTTGTCCAGGTCACAGATGTCATCATTGGCTCCTCCCTATTTTTCATTCCAATGTGAGAGATTCTTACTAAGTACAATATATCCTTTCAATATACTAGAAAGGAAAAAGGCTAAGACCAACAGGTTTATGTAGTTTGAATACTTATTAATAGATATTTCCTATTATGTACTAACTGATCCATAAACAAACACAATTCATTAGCTCCCAAAAGCGAAACACAAGAAAGCAAGGGTGGGGCTTCCTCAGGGACTAGGAAGCTGTGGGGACTCTTTCTGCCTATCATCCCCGTTCCCATCAGCATGGCGTTTTTAGTTCCTCTTACTGTAGATGTATTTTTTTTTCCCTGGCAGAGAACAACTTCACTGGGAGAAAGGAATCTACACACTCTTCATAAGGCCAGCTGGAAACAACAGAGGAATGATGCTGAGTGATCCAATTTGACCCTGAGTCAGGGTGAGAAAGCATTGAAATTGATGGAGTACTGTCGAGGTCAATGGAGCTCATGAGGATTTGTGATCCTGGCTGGAGTGCAAAAGCCAGCTCCCTGGAAAAGGCCCAGGATCATTGTTACAGACTAAGCAGAACGTCCCCCCACATTCACTTGTTGAAGTTCTAACACACAGCACCTCAGAATGTGACTGTGTGGAGATATGGTCTTTAAAGAGTGAAGTTAAAATGAGGTCACTAGGGTGGTCCCTAACCCAATACGACAGGAGTCTTCCTAAGATGAGGAAACTAGGACCCAGATGAGCACAAAGAGAAGACCATGTGAAGACACAGGGAGAAGACAACCAGTAGAGAGGCTTCAGAAGGAACCAATGTCTCAACAGTTTGATTTTGGACTTCTAGCCTCCAAAATGGAGGAAATAAATTTTTGTTGTTAAACCACCCAATCTGTGGGGCTTTGTTAGAATAGTCCTACCAAACTCATACAGTCATTCAAAGAACAGAATCTGCTTCTACTACCAACTCACCCACCTTCTTTAATAGTAAGAAACATGAGTTGTTAATTTCAATGGGCATCAAGAGGCTATTCAACTAATACGTGTCTGGATGAAGATACAGATGATTATAAGAGTGTTTCTTTGATCTTGTATCTAACTCTAAGAAATTATAGCAATGGATCCACTAAACATTGCAGGATCTCTTCATTCTCTACTGTTTGCACATTTACATGTATACGTATTTTCTGTTCATTTTTACTCATAAAATATTTACTGCGTTTAATAAAACATTTTGGTAATTAATAATTTAGAACAAAAAATGACATGTTCCTGCCATCATACCTCATAGGATGTTTAGTGATCAGTCAAAATCTAAGAAATTTTCCCAGTAGTTTTTCCTCACACCATTTCACCCTTTTCTTCTACTCTTCTCATGCATAGTCAATGTCCATGTCTCTTCATTCTAATAAAAAGTAAAAGAAATATGTGTAAATACATAAATTATATGAATTGAATACAAATATAGAATATGTTTTAAGGGTAAATATCTTCTTTACTTAACCAAGACACCAAATGACTAGTAAAAAAAAACCTTTAAATTGCATTAAAAAAAAACAAAGACACACTATGTATTTTTCTTGGTGTTTCAAGAAAGATATATCACTCAATAAAAATTTATCTTATAGGTATATAAATGTAAATGTTTTGTTTTCTTTCACTGTTGTAATAAATGTATTTGGATTATTAAAACTTCTGCAAGAAATGTTTACAATATAATTTTATCCCTGATGAGCTGAAAATGATGATCCTTATGTGAGAAAAACGCTAAACTCTTTCTATAAGTAGGGAAAATAAGGTTTTCTACCTGTTGGCTTTGTATATCCAAAATCCTATATAAATATTGAAACTGTGAAAAAGAAAACAATTTTCAAATGGCATCAAGAGCAAAAAAATGCTCCTTTCAAAACATATTTAAGAATTACACCCTAAAAAATTATCCCATTTACCATTGCAACAACAAAAATAAGATACTCAGGGATACACTTAACCAAAAAAGCAAAATCCCTATACTTGGAAAACCAGAGGACACTGAAAAAAGAGATAGAAGAAGATATAAACAAGTGGAAGAACATACCGTGTTCATGAATTGATAGAATCAATATCATTAAACTGTCCAT